CAGCAGGGCCTCGGGATCAGCCTTCTGATGGATTGTGCGTTTTGTTTGCAGACATTTTTGCAAGGTCTGATGCTGGGAGCCGTGTCAGTGTAAGTCAGTGATACACGTTTTCCTTTTTGCACGTGCTTTTCCTCGATTGTATGTGAACAATAACTGCAGTCTCTGGTTTCAGTTTCTATGATGTCGATGAGGTGTTATGGGCCATAGGGGCAACCGCTCTGGTGACGTTATCGCTCACTTTATTTGCTCTCCAAACAAAAGTAGGTATCACTGAAACAGATTTCTGCCATAAGGGTGTGCGGGACATGTTCCTCCCCCCTCCGCTCTCCTCTCTGCTGTCCTGTGGCCTCCTCTCCTTGGGGCTTCGGGCATTCCCAGGAACCACATTGAAAAAGTAAAAAGAAGTAAGGTGAAGTTAATCTGAATAATATCTTTCACTTAACCCAATGTATGTGAAGCATTGTCATTTCAACAAGTAACCAACATGACAAAAATATGAATGAGCTAGTTTACATTCTCTTTTTTGAATTAATATTCAAACCCCGGGTGTGTTTTGCACTGATAGCGCATCTCAGCGTGGAGTAGCCACAGCTGTGGGAAGCACACCTGCGGACAAGCTCTCAGCAGCATGTCACCTGGGGAGCTTGTTGAACCACAGCTTGCTGGCTCCAGAGCCAGGAGGTCAATCTGCATCCCAGGTGGTGCCCCTGCTGCTGGGCTGAGGACCACACTAGGTGATGCAGGACTTCAGAGTACGTTTCCTTGGTGTGTGAAGGGTAGGGAGTGAGGGCAGAACAAGAGGAATGAGGAAAAAGCTCTTGCAAGAAAATGTCTCGGATTCAAGGATCTTCTTTTGCTGTACAATCCCAGATTTCTCAGGCCAGAAGATTAATATTCCCCTTTCTTTAAAAGAAATTTTAATCTCCCTCCCCCGGCTGATTTGGTCACTGATTTATAAAGGCAAAACCAAAAAGCATGTTGATAAATTTCAAAATTACAAAAGAATCTTTAATAGTAGTTTTTGAAAGTTTAGTATATATATATATATTTATTCAAAGGTATGCATACAAATGTGAAAAGGGTACCCAGTTAATTAACCTCTAGGTCTATTTTATTTCATTAATGTAGTCTATGCTCACACTTTGAAGACATGGGTAATTATGAGCATAATTATGATCATGCTACACATACAAATTTACATCCTACTCATTCAATGTGCCTTTTCATTAGGGAACATTTTGTAGAAATACAAAAATAGAGCGGCAAAAGGAGCTCCCATGTGCCCATTGCCCAGCTTCAAAAACCATCCTCCCTCCCCTCCCGCCAGCAGCAAGTCCCAGGCGGCAGGACCCTTCATGTCTTGTTGTCAGTGGTTGGGCTGATGGATTTCCCTGGTTCTCCAACCTGGCCTGGTACATTATTAGCCAACGGGCCAGTTTCTGTCTGCGGGGTATGAGGCGCATCCTCATCCTCCTGGAATTCCGTGGAGGCGGTGACGGAGTTGTGCCTGGTGTTGTGTTTCCCCAGCTGGACTTCACCCTGCTCAATGGAGTGCTGTTCGTCGCGCTGGTCGTGCTTTTTATCTACGGAATCATCTTAATCTTCATTCGGTCATACGTAAGTGGGCCTCCCCCGGAGGACCAGGACCGTTAGGGATCCGGGTGAGGGGCTGGTGGTGTCAGGATGGAGCCTCTGAGAGGCAGAGCCGAGATGGGAGTGGGGGGGACTTTCCTGGGAGAAATGTCTGCGAGAGAGAAGGAGTGGGGGAGCGACGAAGGCTGGTAGAGCCGTCCGACCGCGAGGGCCAATGCGACCCCAGGTGAGGGACCGGAAGGGGGTCCGTGGGAGCATTCTGGACGATGGAAGGCTCAGCAAGGCCACCAGGAAGTCCTGGAGATAACATCCACGTCCCAGCACAGTGGTCCCGTGTCTCCCACCAACTGAGAAGTGGAGTGTGGCCCAGGAGCCGGCTGCAGTGGCCCTGGGGCAGTAGGACTGTGAGGCCCGTCCCAGGCGCTGGCCAGGTGGTTGGGTCCCAGGGACAGGAGGTCTGGGCCATGATGGTGGAGCTCCTACCCTGGCCTACCGCTGTCCTTCCCTAGGAGGAGTGTGGGCGGACCCGCGCACAGGGTAGATCCGCCTCCTGTGCTGCTTGTTTGAAGAGATGGAAGTGGAGATGGGCTCCGTAGGACTTTTCCAACAGCAGCTAGAGGAGGCTCCTATTTTTTTTCTTTATTCCCTTTTTTGTTTAATCTATTCACTGACTTCTCACAGGTATCAGACATAGGCCCATGTGTTTGACATATAGGCATCCAATTCAGTTCTCACAACATTCCTGAAAAGTACACATCTCATCTATTTTATAGATAAGAAGACAGGTTCAGAGACATTAAATAATTCATCCTGGGAGCAGGAGGGATCAAAGCCAGATATGAGTTTCTTAAAATTGGGTCCTTATCTAACAGCAGTGACCTAAGTGCGCCCTTTTGTTATTTCAAATCTTGTTCTTAATATTCAGTTGTCTCCTTTCTTCTTGCAGTGGTTGCACCTGTTGTATGCTGCACTCGGAACTGTGCTCTTCTCACTTGTAAGTCCATTTCTCCTTCTCTTGGCAGAGTAGGGTACATGCATGGAAGGTGCCGCCTTAGCCCTTGTGCTAAGCGTGGAGTCAAGTAGAGTCAGTGATTCACTGGAAAGCACTCCTGGAGACTTGCTGCTGCTGCTGCCCCCCCCCTCCCTCTCCTCTTCCTTCCTCTCCTCCTCCTCCCCCTGCTCCTCCTCCCCCTTTTATAAGGATGATTTTTTAGAGCACTTTTAAGTTCAGAGCAAAATCAAGAGGAAGATACGGAGATTCCCATATACCCCTGCCCACACATGCACAGCCCCCCCCCCTATTATTAACTACACTCACCAGAGAGGTACATTTGTTACACGGATGAACCTACATTGAGGTGTCACTATCACCCAAACTCCACAGTTTGCAATAGGTTCACTGTGGGTGTACATTCTATGCATTTGGAAAAATGGATAATAAATGACATGTTCCATCGTATGGTATCATACAGAGTATTTTCACTGCCCTAAATATCCCGTGCTCTGCCTACTCATTCCTCCCCTGGCTCCAACCCTTGGCAACCACTGACCTTTTTACTGTTTCCCAGTTTTGCCTTTTCCAGAAGTCATATAATTGCAATCAGACAATATGTAGCTTTTCCAGACTGGCTTCTCTCACCTAGTAATGTACACTTTTAAGGTTCCTCTGTGTCTTTTCATGGCTTGAGAGCTCATTTCGGTCTGGATGTATCACAGTTTATGTATTCAGCCACCTACTGAAGGACATCTTGGTTGCTCCCAAGTTTTGGCAATTTTGCATGAAGCTGCTCTAAACATCCACGTGCAGGTTTTTGTGTGAACATAAATTTTCAACTGCTTTGGGTAAATACCAAGGAGTGTGACTGCTGGATCACATGGTCAAAGTAGAAACCTTCTCCCAGAGTTGCTGGAATCACAAAGGGAGCGGGGAGGGGGAGTGGGAGTGGGGGGAAGGGCCTAGTGGTCCAGGCCGGCGTCTGCTTTAGCATCCCCCAGCCTAGGGTTTGACTCCCTTCTCTTCCACTCTGATCACTCACATGACCTTCCCTCATTCTATTTTGGAAATACCAACATCACCACAAAGCTCCAGGAATTCAGAATTATTGCTGTGTGCGAATCTAAATGCCGGGGAACCATTTTATTTTCATTCTTTGTTCAGTGAGAACACAGGGCATTTTGTAGTATCACTGTGTCCAATATGCCCACCTGGCCCATCTCGTTGACTAAAGTCACAAGGCTACTGGACTGGAAAAGCAAAGGAAGGACAAAGCACTTGCCTTCATGGAGTGCAAACGTGAACGTCGTAAATGGCTGAGGCTGTATAACAACATATATAGCCACAAGCCGACTTTCTGCAACCATGTGTATCGATGCTAACTTTCCCAGATGGTTTAGGACAGTTATTAGATAGGAATGAACAGTTCAAGTAGCTCATTTTTCTTTCTTTTCTTTAAGTACTTGGTGATGGATGTGCAGCTGTTGATAGGGGGGAGCCATCATGTGAAGCTGGACCCTGAAGAGTATGTGTTTGCTGCTCTGAACATCTACTTGGATATAATCAACCTTTTTATTTTTATTTTGCAATTGATTGGACGGTAGGCCCATGGCCAAGGCTAGCTTGTGCTGACCAGAGGGAAGGAGGGCATCTGCGAAGTGCCGCCAGGCTCAGACATGCAGAGGTGGCCATCTCATAAGCCCTGTGATTAAAATAAATATTTTAGAGTACTTATTTTTTTTTCAAATGAAAGCAAACATTCAGTTGATGGTAGCTGTAACTTGTTATATATTTTAAGTTCCATTGTCACATTGCAAAACTTCCTGTGGGACATTTCTGATTTTTGTAATTTCAAAAGATGAGTATCAAAATAATACCATACAACATTTCTTAGATGCCTGTTATTTTGTTGACATTTTCTTGGCACTTAGTTAAAGCTGTAAACATCTCTCTCTATGAATAAAATTGATTACAGAAACCTACATTTACTCTATTCTCTTCTCTTGATTCGGACATTCTATGGGAATATTTCTGCACAGTCTGACTCTAAGAGTAAGGTGAGCCAAAGTATTCCGCCTTTCTCCTGGATTCCAGAGGCAGGCTGAAGAGAACGGTATCTTCCCGGAAGGGGATGGAGAGGATTCATGAAGTTAATGTACACGAAAGGCTGGAGAGCACTGCGTTACCTGCCAGCGTCGCTGTCCCACCTACACGTCTGGGCTTAACTCAGAGACCACCTCCGCTGGTTGTCTGGGACAACTGGCCTCCTTTGAAGTCCCATAATATTATCAAATTTTCAATTTTAATTGTGATAAAATTCACATAACAAAATTTACTGTCTTAACCATTTTTAAGTGTATAGTTCAATAGCCGTAAGTATATTCACATTATTGTGCAACCCATCTCCAGAATTTTTTCACCTTGCAAAACTGAAACTCCATCCCCATTAAACAAGAAGAAGCCATGTATTTTGCACTGACTTATTTATTCACACACCTCTTATAACCCGTTTGGTTTGTCCCTGAGGGACACAGACGTGACGGATCTTTACAGCATGGGTGAACTGTGCAGCGGGGAGGATGGGGAGACTAGATGGACTCTTCTGGTCTCTAGAATTATTCACAAGAGCTTGACTTCTAGACATAACTAAACTTACAGGTCTCAAGTAGGACATTTGAAATATAAGCACTATAGTCACACACACCTGACTACTTGATTATCTGTCATTTCAGATTAGCCCTATCTCCACAACTTTGGTAAAGCTTCTCATTGTGTTTATAATCTCATTGCTACCAGCAAAGTCCTGAAGATGGGCGTAACCTCTGAAATGTGAGCATGAAGAAGAGAAAGGGACAGGAAAGTCATCCAGGAAAAAATCCGGGTGGACCCTCCCTCTAAAGCTTCCTGGTCTGGATATTGTGACAAATACTACTGTGTGTACACTTTTGTCAAAGGCTTTGCTACCAAAGTCATGGTGAGTTAAGTCCACACAAGAAAGCAAATGCAGCTGGAAAGCCTCAGGTTTTGCATATCCTCCTGGCATCAAAAAAATCTTCCTGCATATAATAAGGAATGCTGGCCAATTTCTTTCTCCACTTAAGTTTCTGCTGTCCCAGCAACCCCAGTAGGCATTTCTTTTGTCTCAGCAATGTTCCCAGGCACATAGTCTATTGTGTGCATCTACTGTATGTGCCATTCCACAGTGGTGATGACTCAAAAGAAATTCTAATGCTTTTCATTTCTGCATTTAGTAAAGACTGAGCAAGACACACCTCTTAAGGTCAATCAAATGAGTAGACTAATTCTCAGTATTAGAAATTCATCTTTTGCCTGTTTGGCTCAGCGGAGCGTCAGCTTGCAGACTGAAGGGCCCCAGGTTTGATTCTGGTCAAGGGCACATACCTCAGTTGCAGGCTTGATCCCTGGCCCTGGTAGGAGCGCATGCAGGAGACAACCAATTGATGTGTATCTCTCATCATTGATGTTTCTATCTCTCTCTTTCCCCTTCTCCCTTCCTTTCTAAAATCAATACACACACACACACACACACACACACACACACACACACACACACGCCTGATGCATGAAAATTCGTGCAAGAGTAGGCCTTCCTTCCCCCAGCTGCTGGTACGGGCTTCCCTCCTCCAGCCACCGGCAGGCACCCGGGACCTAGGCTGGCTTCCCTCTGGCCCCGGCTTTGTCAGGAAGGATGTCTGGAATGACGTCTGGTCTAATTAGCATATTACCCTTTTAGTAATATAGATTTTTTTTTTTTAGAAGAGAGTCCACAATCTGAACATCTGGCAAGAGTGGTCCCAAACCCGTCTGTAAATCAACTCAAGATGTCCTATAATGGGGCAATGGAAGCTTACAGGAAAAGAGTGAGGAGAATCCATAGGATTCAGGTTATACTTTCTATAATGCCCACAAATTTGGGGCCTATAATTTACTTTTAACTTTTGTTCTTTATATTATCCCAAATGGGCATTTCCTCATCTAGCCCGAGGCATGGTTTGATAAGCACATCTATCTACACACAAGTGCCCTTATGAAATCACGCATGCGAAAGGCTAGTGCAGTCAGCCATGTCCTAGTATGCCATACTGCACTCACAGGCTCAAAGAATGTCAACGCTAGAACGGATGTTGGCAGTGTATAATTTGCTTAATCAAAGTCCTTGAAACAAGTGAAACTGCTGAAGATCTCTACGGTTCCCAGGTTGTAGCACTGCTGACAGCTCCAATGTACTAAGACGCCATTTGCCTGATTGTTGTTCTAAAGCAGGGGTCAGCAAACTATAGTCTGCATGCCAAATCTGGCTTATCTTAAAAAAACACACCAACTTTTTATTTTGAAATATAGATTTACAGGAAGTTGCAAAGATAACTGAGGCTCTGTGTACTCTTTACCT